GAGGCCGTAATAAAGGAGGCTGCCCAGAAAGGGTGGGAAGAAGAGGAGACGGTGCTTCCGCACCTCTCGAAGGTGGAGCATAAGCAGCGCAATCTGACACAAGGGGGGCAAGGTTCGGGAAAGGGTCAGATGCCCCAAGCGGTGGTAGCTGCCTCCCCGAGTGCGTTAGCACCTTCGAGTAGTGCAGGCCCTTCGCAGGCGCCAGTACCACCTTTCGGGCAGTGGCCATGGCCCATGGATCAATACCTATATGCCTTAGGGAGGGCCGACGCCTTATGGACAGGTAGTACCCTATGCTGGGCCGCAGACGAGTAAGCCGCCCCCTATCTATCCTGCAGTCCAGGCCCAGCCTATGGCCACGCCGCCATCACCCGCTCCTAGTTCGCAAAGGAGCGTGGCTGGAGGTGGGAACCAGGATCAAGGCAATCAAGGCAATGGAGGAAGGGGTGGTGGAAGGGGGCGAGGCAGGAACGGCGGCAGTCGAGGAAGACAATGGAATAGCCAAGGCTAGGGGAGCCAAGGCCAGGGGAACCAAGGCCAAAGGGATCAAGGAGGTCAAGGTACGGAAGAGCCCGATTTGACTGGAGGTCGACTATCTGCCAACATTGCGACCAGCAAGGCCACACTATAAGGTACTGTAACATAAGGCAGGAGGATGAGAAGAACGGGCTGATTTCCTTCACCATGGATGAAAATATCTATGACCAGTTTGGGGAGTTTATTGACAGGAAGCTTGGGGGAGTGAGAGCGGAGGCCCAACGAAGAGCAGCAGTCGGACCGCCACCCCCTGCCACGTTCAGGTTATGGTAGGAAAAGGAAGGACCACCAATAGGGGTAGAGGAAGTGGGGAGTGATTAGTAAGTAACTCAGGGGCTATGAGAAGGAGATAAGAAGGAAGAGTCCATAATCATCGAGTCGGACGACGAGAATGAGGAAGAAAAGATGGAACCGTTGTCCGCCTTGCTGGGGAAAATAGAGGACCTGTTGCATAAGATCGAGAGGTACCAACAGAAGTTGGTGGACCTCTGTGAGGGAATAAGGGAATGGAGGCATAACGTCCCCAAGGTGTTCCTTTATGACTCCGGCCCGGAGTCAGCGCCCAGGCGACCCGGAGTAAATGTAGTAGGGTTGGACCCGCTGTTCGGAGAAAACCCGGGGAGGGGATACCTACCGTTCGCTGAAGCCATGGGCTACGGCGCCTGTCACTTCGCCGCGCCCGCTTCCGAGGTCCTCGGCGACCAGTAGGGTGAAGGGGGCCAGTCGAGTTCAAGATCCGTCGAGCCCCGTCGTCACACAGCGCTCTTCAGCAATTAGAGAGAGTATGGTAGATTACTAAATATTTAAATAAGATTAAAGAAATAAGTAAGAATAATAAATAAATAAAAGAGTAGCAAAATTAAGACTGGCACTCT